GTTATGCCTAAGATGTTTGATATTCAGACAGACAGTGAAGTTAAGCTTAACAGCCTAGGTTGTATGGTAATAATAATAAACTTCTCTTCCTGAGGGTTAACAACCTAAGTTTGCAGACCAAAATTAGAGAAAAAGGGCTGCAAGGAAAGCCAACATTTTGACTCTAGCCTTCCAAGGTCAATTAAGACTCAGGACATATAGGAACTTGTACTGTAATGCCATGTAACTCAGTAGTGTCCCAAATTTTCTGATCAAGGAGATTATGGGCTAAAGAGAAAAGTGATCGATGATTTAGAGTGTGCCTAAGGAGAGTCACATGGAGAAAAAACATTCTCTCAGACTTTCACAGAGAGCACATTGGCCAAGCAATGGCTGTGACTCAACCATATGGATGACACTGACAAAGGTTGTACAGTCTGAGGTACACAATCTCAGGATAAATCCTGAGCGAATTTCATTGACCTTATCAGATCCAAAAGCTACAACTCTTGTTGCATAGGTCTTATTTTATCTTGGTTTTAACCATCCAGCAGAAAAGTATAAAATCGAAGTATAAGAAGTAAAGCCATGCTGTTACATTGAGCTGTAGGGGACTCAGGTCAACAATTTCTGACATTGCCAGTGAAGCGGAAGACCCAATACTATTTAGAATATTTTGCTGAGTTAACACACGTATAATATTCAAATAATGGAACTTAACACAAAAAGGGGATACAGATGAATGTCCATTTTGTATCTGTGTATTCAAAATGGTTAGGTTAGGATAGATATATAGTTACATTCTCTTAATGAATAGAGGAATTTGTTCTAATAGCGTTTGTAAATAGGATATCATGTTCGCATCTTGTACAGTAATTAACCACTAGGAAGGATGTATGCAATGTATTAATTATTGAATTTGACCTACCAATTTGGTTTGAAACTGTCTCATTGCTCTTTGTCAATAAAATTCTGGAAAAAAGTAAAATAAAATAGATGTAAAAAAAGAAAATAAATGAGGCATAAATAAGCATTTTGATGTTGTCCCATTGTGGTTACTATGTTCTTCTGTAGTATTTTGTAAACAAAACCAATTGGCAACTATATTAAACTTCTGAGTAAGGAACAGAGAGCAGAAATTACTTGCTAATTGAGGCACAAGAATCTTTAAAATACCTATCCATTCTTATCAGCATTAATAAATGAATCAGCATTTTCCTGGGATTGGCACTCTGATTTTGAACTACAATAGTAAATTTTTCTAACAGTATAAAAAATTCACATATAGCATAAGGAATCTAAATTTGGTAGTAACGTGTTAATAGAATTTTAGATACGAAAGACTGGAGTGTTTGTATTTTATTGTTTAGTCAGAAATATTAGAAAGTACTGGGTGAATGACAGGATCTCTGTTATTCTTATCTGGTATGGTCATTACATAGTAAATTATTGGGTAAAATGGAAGCCTGACCACTTTGTTTTCAAAATTAGGATTACTTTTAAGAGCACATTTCCGCAGTGGCCCACACTAATGGCAGCCAGTGGAGAACAGTCTCCATTCACACAAGTGATTTGTAGTGACTGTATTTAGTTGTCAACCTTCATTCTTCTTGGGACAGTTGTCTTACAGGTATGTTTGTAGTTCCCAAAGGAGTGAGCGAGGCTCCGGTGTGTCCTTCAGTCCTCTAGAAAAGCCATCTAAGCACTTCACTCTTGGTGCTTTGGCTTGGCGATATTTTCATCTATACAGTGATAGCTGACTTGACTATATTTGGAAGGAGCTGTAAGTGACCTGTGTTTTGGTTCTGTGTTAAAAATCCCAGGTCATTCATACAGCAACAGGTTCTATGACTGTATTGGGCAGAGTATGCTCTGATGTACTAAACTTGGGATATGGGAAGAACAAACTAGATAGGGTTATAGTATTTAAGCCAAGACCTAAAAGGTGAGCTAGCAGACAGAGCATGTGTAGAGCTGGGGGAAGAGTTGGAGCTAGTGCCTGGGAGACAGGAAGGAAGGGGCAGTGGGACTGGAGAGTAGCAAGAGGGGGGATAGTGGCCTGAGATAGGGCCGATTAATAGATGCAGCCTGGCCTGCATAGGTCTTAAGGCCATGTTGAAGATTTTGAAGTGACTTTAAGAAATTTGAAAGAGATAATGCCAGGTTTTCAGCAAGGGAGAACTCACTGATATGGAGACAATAAATTAGAGGAAATCAGTAGGGGCCTACAGGAGTATAAGGCCTTGGTCGTCATCATCAGTAGCAGGCAATATGTATGTTTGGCTTGCTGTGGGCTGGGCACTGTGCTCAACTCACTTTTCTTTATTATCTGTTAGAAACTTCACAGTGTCCTAATGAGGTGCTATTGTTATTTGCGTTTTACAGATGAGGGGACTGAAACATAGCCAAGGTTAAAGCACCTGGGCCAGAGTCATATCACGGGTAAGTGTCAGAGCTGGGATTCAAGTCCAGACATTATAAAATTCTAAACCCTAAGCTGTTAGCTACTGGGCCAGGGTTTTCAGCATGTGCAGAAACGATCCATTAGTGGTCTTGAAACTGAGTGGATCACAGCTGAGATTGTTTTCTAGAATAGAAGATACCAGAATATTTGACACACGGTAAAGATAAAATTCTGATATGTGAAAGCTTGTTTCATGCTGACTGTATTTGTGCATGTTTGAGCGAAACAACCTTTTCCTGGAGAGGGGCTGATGATGACTTAGGCCGGCAGGGAGGTTCACGTGGAGTACAGGACATGGTAAGAAGGAAGTATGGGCTGGGCTTCCGAGTGTGAGCAGCATCAGTCATGACATGTGCTACATGTGGACCACTGGAAGGGAGACCAATGCATCCTTGAGGAGGCCTTCTGGGTGGCCATATTAGAACTGGTCTTTAGCAGCTCTCAGGTGCAGCTGACAGGACTCAGGATGTCTTGCCTAAGGGCAGCAAACCTGTAAGCTGGCCAGGAAGACATGTGGTGACCTGCCCTGAAAGCTGCCACAAGTCTGGAATTTGAGATAACTAGAGACCCAGCTGGTGACAGGATGAAAAGCAGGCCATAAGTGCATGATGGTGAACCACCCCCAGCTCTAGAGTGAAGGTGTGGGAGCTGTTTTTGCTGGAGTGAAATGGAATCCAAACAGGCTTTAGATGTCAAGGTCCAGAATTGTTTCTGCAGTTCTGATTTTCTGTGTGGCTCATTTCCTTATTCTCAAGCATAGGCATTTTCATACTACTTGCTGTCCCCACTGCTGCAGGGTCTCTGTCTTGTGCATTTGGCAGATACTAACTGAAAGTAGAACAGTGGAGCAGTTAAAAATTCTTGCTGTGAACCCCTCTTTCTGTCTCTGGGCTATGCTATGAGGAGATGTAAAGATTATACTTTCGAAGGTCTGTAAGTCAGATGGTAGGAAAGAAGACCTGGGTGAAGGGACATAGTAGGGCAAGGTTGGCTCCAGAGTCTGTCTCTTTGGAAGGCCAGTATGCTCTGGGCAGTGTGTATTGCTTCTGAGGAAGAGGAGGGTAGTGGTCCTTGCAATAGCACCCACAAAAGGTAGCACAATTTTTTTGATGACAGCTTCTTCTGATTATTCCTAACACTAATTTCTTGTGTTAATAACTGAAGTACACAGAGTAATTGCTAATTGGAACTTACTCTTTTGTAAAGGCATATCTCAAGAGTTAAGTTTGTTGACACATAATTTTGAAGTTCGCAATGATTTCACATGGTGTGCTGAGTCAGCAAATGATAGGCTTTGTTCCTTAACCTAGGTAAAGTTTAACCACATAATGAGATATTTTATTTTCACTGACTACTTTTGAGGAGCTTAACTGAGGACTTGAAAAATATGTGATGTGGAATCCACCTACGATCTGAAGCTGGTCTTGTGAGCTTTAGTGATTTATATTTTTCCTCTCATTTTTGTCCTGGGTATAGCAAATCTAAAGGGTGACATTTTCTCACTCATCTGACCCTATGAAAGCCTTCTCTGAGGAGTACGTGATGCAGATAAGATACAGTGAAGGGTGTGTAGGTGAGGACTTAATTGTCACAGTGGGGTACATACACATGAGACTGCGCACAAGAAAAAAGTATTAGATTTTCTCTGTTGACCTCTTACTTTCAACTTTTATGGGTGCTAGAGAATATATTTCATTAGTTGTCAAACATGTATGAAGTGTGTAGATAAATATACATGTATTGTGAAAGTACCCTTTTTTGCCGTACTGTGTATGCAGTTTAAAAATGTTTTTAGGCTAATACATGTAGTATATATTTTAAAAATATATTTTTTATAACTTATGTTTTAATACTTTGAGAAAACCATGTTTTCTACCTCTGATAAATCAGTATTGCTAATGATAAAGTAGTATTGCCTGCCTATTGTAGTGCAGAGTAAGACTAGCTGTATATAAAATGACTAATTACTAAGCTATGACCTGTAAAAATGTGAACCATTTTCTTCTGGTGTTGGAAGAACTTAACCTTATTGACTAAAGTCTTCTAATTTAAGCAGTGAACCTTCCTACTGTATCTCAGTTACTGGAAAATAGGGCATGGAGAAGGTGTGACACCATATGCTCACTAGTTTATTCCAAAGTTTGACCACCCCTCCCTACCCATTAAGTATCTCAGAATTGGAATGCCACCTCCAAATTTCCTGACCTCATCTCTCAGCTCATATGTTTTCTAAGGTGAATGGTTTTCATTTTTAGAGAGCCAAGGAATCCTTGGTTGTAAAAGTTCTTCCTCCTCCTTCCCAAAAACCTTCTCTATAAAATTAGTTAGAAAAACTACTACCTACAATCAAGTTTAATTGAGGTATATTGAATAAATCTAGGTGGTTCTTTTGAGACTTTTATTTCACCATTTGTTTCAGTGATGAGTATGTATTGTAGTGATAGTTGGCCTTTAAAAATTTTATTACATGTTTGTAATATCTAATGAAATTTTGGGAAATAAATACATGCTGTGAACGTATCTTGTTCATTTTCATTCCTACCTACCCTACCTGTTCCTCCCTCCTCCTCCCCAGTCCCTTTTACTCTCTACACAAGTCTTGAATTTGTTTATTTAGGTGAATCTGGCTTATTTTGCATTATATACTGGTCTGTAGTTCCATTCATTTTCCTGCAAATGACACAATTTCATTCTTCTCATTCAATGAATAATTTTCCTATTTTGTATAAACTACATTTTAAGAAATTTAAACTACATTTTAAGAAATCTGTTCATGCATTATTGGACACTTAGGCTGTTTCCACAGTTCAGTTATTGTGATCAGTGCTACTATAAACAGGGATAGACAGTATCACTGTAGTATGCCACCTTTAATTTTGGGGTAATAGCTCGATCAAATGGTATTTCTAGTTTTAGGTTTTTGAGAAATCTCAAGAGTAGTTTTAATTTTTCTGTAATGGCTAAAGATGTGCATTTTTTCTTTCTTAAATTTTTTAAAAAATGTATTTTAGTACAGGGCCTATAGGGTCTCACTACAAGATCAGACTTATAGTGATCTCCTGTTTTTAGCCTCCAAGTGCTGTGATTACATGCCCAGGCTCAGTCACTGTCTCAGGGTGCCCTGGGGGCAGGACCAGCACCGCACTCCAGGGATCAAACCCCAGTCTACTGTATTATCTGGCTGGCCCGTGCATTTTTTTCTTATACATGTTGGCGATTTTTACTTTTTTTGAGAAGTGCCATTCAGTTCATTTGCTTATTTTTAATTCTTTATAGATTCTAGTGATGAATCCTCGAACAGAAGAATAGCAGAATTTTTTCTCTTCTTGTGTAGATTGCCTCTTTACCCTGTTTGCTTTGCTATGGAGAAACTTTTAACTGGTTGCTTCTTGACACTATCACCTGTGCTGTTGGAGCCCTATTCAGGAAGTCTGCTTATGGCGTCATTTGTTTCCCCTATGTTACCTTCCAGCAACTTCAAAGTTTCTGATTTTATGTCTAAAATCTGTTTTATTTGATTTTGGTACAGGGTAAGATAGAGGGATCTAGTTTTAATTTTTTGCAAACGGATATCCAATTTTCCCAGCACCATTTGTTAAAAGAGGCTGGGCTTTCTCTAGTATGTTTTGGCCTGTGTTAAAAATGAGATGGATGTAAATGCTTGGGTTGGTTTCTTCTGCTCTACCTCATTGGTCTATTTTGCCTGTGTTTGTACTGATACCTTGTTGCTGCAGCTGAATTTGAGTATGTTGTCAGACCCAGTGTTGTGATGCTTCCAATGTCACTTTTGCTCACGTGTGCTCAGGGCTATTTTGGGTATTTCTGATTTCATATGAATTTTAGGGTTGTTCTTTTTTTCTAGTTCAGTAAAGAATGTTTTAGTAATATGGCCGTTTTCACAATAATAGTTCTTCTAGTCCATGAATACATGAGGTCTTTATTTTTGTAATGCTTTTAGTTTGTTTCTTTAGCTTTCTATAATTTTCATTGCAGAACTCTTTTTATGTTCTTGGTTGAGTCCTAGATATTTGATTTTGTTTTTGAAGTTATTGTGAATGGAATTATTTTCTTGATTTCTCTCTCAGTGGGTTCATTGGTATGTAGGAATGCTAGTGATTTTTGGGTCCTGATTTTGTATCTTTGAACACTTGACCAGTTTTTAAAATTTCATTTTATGATAAATGAAAATTTCTCAAGAAATGATGATAAAAATAATTAATGCACTACATACTGTTATCTTCAAAGTAGTTACTCAGAGTACAAGACATAAACCAAAAAAGTAACAAACAGACAGGTTACAAAAATATATGGAAGCAACATTTTATTCAAGTGAAATCCTGTGTCCTTGCAGGTTGCTGATGGTTAGAAGCATGCTTTCCGCTGCACTTCCCGACACCACTTCTGTGCAGGATGTCTCTGAGTGAGAACGCAGTGTTTGCCTATGAGTCTTCAGTGCACAGCACCAATGTCTTGCTGAGCCTGAATGAGCAGAGGAAGAAAGATGTGCTGTGTGACGTCACTGTCTTCGTGGAGGGCCAGCGCTTCCGAGCTCACCGCTCGGTGCTGGCAGCATGCAGCAGTTACTTCCACTCAAGAATCATAAGCCAGGCTGATGTGGAGCTTAACATCACTCTACCGGAAGAGGTGAGAGGTCTACATTTCTCATGATTGTATTTTATTTTATTCAAACATGTTTTGATGTATAAAGTTAAAAGTGGCGCGGTCTCCTACTCAGGTGGCTAGGGAACAGTTTTTAGTTTCTTAGCGGCAATCCGTGTGTTTGTCTTTTCTGATGACAGTGGTTACATTTATAGGTAAAATCATTAATTTTGAATGTTTATTGAGCAGTAGAATAACTTGTCCCAGTGTTGGGTTATTTTTAATAAAATGACTTAAGTCTGGACACACCCAGTGTACTCAACATTTGTAAAGGTCCTTGATTGAGAGATAATGCTGAGACTTTCTCTCCTTCTTACTCTTATCCTGTGATAGGCAGCTGTGACTAGGTTTAGAGTTCTATAGATCATTTCTTAAGACATTCTCCCATGAAAAGTGGACTCCACAGGTGTTCTCTTCCTTTCTCCTTGAGAGTGTCTGTATGTTTTGGTAGAAGAAATTAATTGTGTCTTATTTATGGAGCCTTGGTTGTACATATATCTTTCCTCCTAGGTTGTTGTGGAGCTCAACAAATATTTACATCTTTGTTAATGCCCTGGCTCCAAGAGATTTCTCTCTTGGGCAGAGAAATGCTGGTTACAATGACTCGTACTCAAACAGGTTGCTTTATTTAGTTGCTAACTGCAGCTAGCTGAGTGTCAAGTCTGTACATTTGGGACTCAGAAGTGGATAAGAGGAATATAGAGAGAGTGTGTGGAACTTCTTGTGTCTCATGTATCTGTGTGAGATGTTCACTGTTGGATACCGTAAAGTGTAAACTAGATTATGGTGTAGCTTATTGTTAGCTATTCATACTTCCATGAAATTTTGGCTGTGTTTTGGGAGTGAATATGTTATCACTTCTGTGGCAGGGATCAGAGGGCAGGGGGAAAACCAAGAAATAACAAAAAGAGGTCAATGGAAGACTAGCCATTGATTTTTGCAAAGGAACACAAATCTTGATAGAGACATACCCATTGTGATTCTCATTGTCGAATTACTGAATGAGACTTTTGAACTAGAAGTCTGATTCATGCACTTTTGAGGAGAGGTATGTGTATGAATGTGTGTATGTTATGTTTTCATTCTAATTTTAAGTAATCTTAAGTTTTCAAATGTATGAGATCTTTTATCAGAATGACAGAATGAATACTGTTGTATAACCTACTGACTTAAAATTCAAGCTACTGCACTGAAGATTGTAATTTGTAATAGTATTTTCATGCTTGGAGAACCTGTCATTCTGTTCTTCTGAATATGGGCTGCTTGTCATGAAATGCCAGTTGCTGCTATGATGTCTCTTGGTAGATGGTTGTTCAAAACGAAGGCTGTGGTGAATGAAAGCAAGAGACAGGAAAAGGAATATTGTGGGACTGTCCTGCTTTGAGGTTGTATATGGTGAAATTTTTGGACTTACGTGTAAACATAAGAAGTATATAATTCTTTATGCATATTTTTGAAATATATTCTAATTTTTAAATGTTTTTTTTATCATATTCTGTAGAGACTTAAAGTTCAACATATCAATACTTGATGAAAAATACCTGTTCCAGATTATGCCTAAGATGTTTGACATGCAGACAGATAGTGAGGTTAAGCTTAACAGCCTAAGTTG